CAACGAGGGGAACCCGGTGGTTTCTGCGTGAGACGGGAACGGTTGCCCTGGCATCTGCCTTTGTCAGGGAACGAGTTGGAAGATTTAGTGTCCCGGATTGGTGCCCTGTTTGCTGATCAGCTGCTGCTCTGCCCTTGGCAGTCATCCTTGTGTGCTATGGGCGAGGGGGAATTTAAGGATAAATTGAAACAGAACAGAAACCTATTTCCTGCTAAAATTAGCTGTTTCTGCCTTCGCTGGGTATCTCTCCATGATGATGCACTTGCTCTGGCATCTCGTCCCTGGAGAACAGTGCTTTTGTGGGGTCACCCTTCTTTCCCTCAGCCCTCCTCCTCCTCAGCACACAGTGGAAATTGTTTCCTGTCCTGCAGTTACACTGTGCTGGGGAAACTGTGCTGAGCAGCTCATCCCAGTGCACAGGGGAGCATGGGACTGGGGCTAGTGGGTGCTGGGGCTCTGCTGCCCTGTGCAGGTGCTGGGGAACCATGGGGACCAGGACTATACCAGCATGTGCCAACTGGACCTGCAGTGCCGATGGGCTGCACTAAAATCTGCCCCTCTGCACCCCAGTCCCTGGGTGGACACTGCTGAGGCTGGCTGATTGAATTCAAAGCAAAACCATGAATAAATAAAACCCATCTCGCTGCCTCTGGACGAGGCCAGACCTTAAATGAGATTTCCACAAGGGGAAATATGGGAGTGTTCCAGTGAGTGCCATCCCTGCCCTGGGCATGGAGCACTGGGAGCCATAGTGACAGCAGCAGCAGTACAGCTGGGAATCCAGGTTCACGTAGACCAACTGGGAGTCTGCATCACTGGCACAATTGTATTATTGTCTGCTTCTTTAGATGCTTATTTTTTTAATTCAGTAAAGTGGTGCTGCAGTGCCTTGTTGCTGCAGCTTGTTGTGTCTGAATGTGCAGCCTCATCCTGCAATACCTGCTTTTCCTTTTCCTATAGGCCAGCAGTGAAGCAATGACAGTGGCCACCTCACACACTGAGGTGCTGTCTGATGGGTGATGCTCCACAGATGCAGTCAGTCTGTAACCTCTGAGCTCCTGCCAGACGTCTGTATGCTGAGAGCAATTACAGCGTGAAACATTTCATCTTAAAGCAGAGAATTTTTTCAGTGCTGCGCTGCAAGTAAGTTAATTATCACAGTTAGGCAGCCTGATGAGGTGTAACTTCATCTCTGCAAAGTCAGTTTCTTAGTAAAGTTCAGCACTGAGAATTCTGAATTTACCAAATCCCCTGTATTCAAATGTGCTGCTATAAATACCTCGGAGTGAAGACTCTTTTTCCTTTCTGTGAATGATGGCTTGAAACACTCTCGTCACTATTTTCAGCAAGGTGATCTAAAAAGCAGCTCTGTTGCAGGGAGCTTACCTCGAAGAGAAGAGTTTCTGAAGAATTTTTTGCTGTCTCTTCACGAAGCTCAATATTTGGTTTTCCTAAGTCAGAGTGCTTGTTTCTTTTGGAGGAGCCTGTTTGCACTGATGTTTGCCATTCTGCATGCTTGCAAGACCAGTAACACTATAGGCTTTAACTATAAAAATGAGGTTGTTAGCTTTTCAGGAACATCTTCACCTTGCCGTTTGCTACCCTGGGAATCACCAGGTTCAGGCACTTCTGAGTCCAACCCATAGGATTGTATTGCAGAACACAAAAACAGCAAAAATGGAAGAAGAGCATCACTCTGTAATGGATCAGTAGGTATTTCGTAGAAATGTTTCCTCCAGATGGTGCAGCTCAGCACAAGGGAAGGTTTTGCCTGGGAAAAGTGCCCACCAAGGTGGTGTGGATGGAGAAGGACAGTACTGTGCTGCCTTGTGGAGCAGCCTGTGCTCTGTGAGGGAGCCTCTCCTCATGGCAGCAATGCCATGTGTCAGTGAGGGGTGGCTGCTGGGAGAGGGGGAACTGAGGGAAGGGAAGGACAAGGTGACAAGGAATGTGTGGCCTGCGGGGAAGATGCACCTGGTGACACAGTGTAGTCTTCACCCAAGGAAGTTCTCCCAAAGCTGCAGCTCTTTGATAGACACATTCTATGGGGCAGGATAACACTTTTTTTTTTTCTTTTTTTTTTCCCTCCAAGTATTTGTTAACAAAGAAGGAGGCGCCAATTGGGGAAGATAATAATTCTCCTCTGCCAAGGGCCTGTTCACACAGCGTGCATCTGACTCTCAGCTGAGGCTGGGTCAACCTCAGCAGCCCGGTGCTGTCAGCAGGCATGCACCGTGCCTCAGGGCTGCTCTCAACCACTTCAGGATCAGCTGGGACCAGTTCTGTGCGCTTCAGAGGCTGCCACCTCATCTCCTCAGTGGAGCTGGAATGCTTGGCGGGAGCAGCGCGGTGCCACCAGGCCTCACCCAGGTGTGAGGGGCCGGGCGCCATGTTGATTCACGCCGCCATGGGGCCACTGAGGAGATCAAAATGGGATCAATTTCTGCATCTGAATGGGAATGCTGTTTTTGCAAAGCAAGGGGCCTGTTTGGAGTTAATCTTCAAGATGAAGGAAGGCACTTATGATTCTGCAGAAGGATTCTGTTGCTGATAAACATCAGTACATCTTTTTTAGCACGGCAAATTAAGCATGAGACTGTAACTATTTATAAATACCCTAAGGGGTGAATATCAAGCAGGAAGAGCTGCAGGAGTTAAAGGTTAATGTTAGCCTGTGATCATGCGGGTATAAATTAGTCATGAATAAGTGCAGACTGAAGACGAGAGGACTGTTCACAGTAATGTGAGGAGCGAAAGTCTGCAACTGGGGAAAACCTGAGTAATAGACAGATATCCCTGAAGGCAGACAATTACCAATGCTTTGGGCATCCTTGGGAATTTGTAGTGCTGAGCACTGCTTCCCCATCTGGCTGTGTCCAGGTCTGGGGCACCCAGCACAAGACAGATGTGGTTGGGTAAGCAAGTCCAGAGGAGTGCTGCTAAAAAGCTCACAGGACTGGAGCACTTCTACTGTGAAGAAAGGTTGAGGGAGTTGGGCTTGTTTTGCTTGGAGGAGGCTCCAGGAAGACCTTGTTGTGGCCTTCCAGTACTTAGAGAGGGCTATAAACTAGATGGAGGCCAACTTTTTACCAAAGCAGATAGTGGTAGAACAAAGGGGAATTGCTTTAAACTAAATGACAGGAGATTTGTGTTAGATGTTAGGAAGAAATTCTTTCCTCAGATGGTAAGGCACTGGCACAGATTGCCCAGAGAAGTTGTGGATGCCCCATCACTGAAGGCATTCAAGACCAGACTGGATGGGTCATCAGGAAATCTGATCTAGTGGGAGATGTCCCAGCCCACAGCAGAGGGGTTGGAAATGAATGAACATTAAAGGCACCCTTCCAACACAAGTCATAAGACACCATAAGAACACTGGTATGGATACATAATTGCCTCTATTTAGGCACAACTTTGAAAAGTTTCAGTAATTATTAGAATTGCAGACTTTATTGAACATCAGAATGCTGCTGGCTACTATTTGTGTGGGATGGAAAGCTTGTGTGGGTATAGGTTTTGGATGACACAGTTTCTGGGTGCTCAGTCTGAAGGTCAGTTTAAGATGTACCTTCAAAGTGTACTCAGCTGAGTATCTCCTATTTCATGGACGTGAATTCTTTACTCATATAATGTAAGTAAAATTACAGTTTACAGTCCAGGCAAAAGATGAGTGATATGAAATCTTTGAAAGAACTGAAGGAGCCTAAAGCAATATGTCAAGCTATTTAATTACATCTCAATGTTGCAAATTGGTGTCTCCTAGCTTGGGAAAAAAAAAAAACAAAAAAAACAAAAAACCCAAAACCTAACTCTTTCTATTTAAGAGACTTTTTATATTGGCTGAGAAAACAGTAAATTGAAAGGCAACTGCACACTTCCACCTCTCTTGGAAATTCCTTAATGAAATATTACATTATTTTATTCCTACCATATTGACTGTAACAGTTTCACTGCTTGATTTTTCCAAAGCCTCAACCTGTTGTTTACATTTTAACACCAGAAATGTTCTTTGATGTTTGATATTTCTATGAAAATGACACTCCTCATTCATTTGGTAGATTCTGATTTTGCTGCTTGTCTCCAATTCGGCCGTTTTTCTGTTATAATTTTGAACAGTAAGAACAAGCATTTGGTATTTTTTTTGTTTGTTTCCCAGCAAATGAACTATTTCCTGTTTTCTTTTGTGACTCTCTACTTCAATAGCAACTGACAAAACTGACAACAACAGAGACGTTGTTCCCCGCTTCTCTTTCCTCCAACTGAGGCTGCAAAGGAAGAAGGCAAAGAGGTGAGTCTGCAGCATGGAAGGCAAGGACCTGGAATGTGGAAGGTGCCTTGAGCATCCCTGGGAGGAAAAAGGTGGTGTCCTCTCCTGTGTCAAGTGCTGCACAAAAGGAAGAACAAGTGACATGACTGTAACTAAGACCCTCCTTCTAGATGAGGAAGCTGACAATAGAGCAAGAAGGTGGGCAGCAAGCAGGAGGTAAGTGTTGCACTGTTTCAGAAAAAGGACTAGAAAAGGATGAGGGTGAAGGCAATGCCTGAACCAGTTGTTTAAGGGTAAAAGATCCTGCCACAAAAAGAGAAGCAGCAGCATTAGAAAAGGCAGCTGCAGCTTGTGTTGTGTAAGGAAATGCAGAGAGACAGGGCCTTTTCAAAAACAGTAGGTCAAGAGTGAGTTGTTCAGTCACTTGCCATTTGTGATGTGCTCCAAACACTTCCTTAGATAATAGTTTTCCAACCTTCCAAATGCTAAAAAGCTAATAATATTTTTAAGGTCTAACCAACCAAGCAGTGAACAGTATCAGACTGCTCGAAGATATGCACATGATAACTGTAAATGACAAAGCAAAAGGGAATACCATGAGAACAGATCATAATTATGACAGTGATTATCCCATGCGATGTCTTGGCACAATGCAAAGCAGTTTTTCTATTTATCCTTTAAAACCTTCTGTTTCCTGATGTGTTTTTTTGTTTTGTTTTTTTTTGTTTGTTTGTTTTTGTTTTTTTTTTTCTCATGTCATCTAAAATTCCTTCATCCGCTTCGTGCCAGGGATGACCCTTGCTGACTGAGGTCATCCCGTAGGTTTGCTCCCAGAAAAACCCACTCCTTCTCCTCAGTGCAGAAAATAGTTTGACTGATGTTTTTCTGAAGTTAAAAGTTAATTTTTTTATATACACAGACCACTCCACAGTAGTACTACAGGTGATTAAAAGAAATCAGCAGCTACTCAGCAACTCCAAGGATGCTCTTGAGTGGTATTCCACAAATGGGGATATACAGACCTGACACAACAACAGTGTCCATGCCACGAAATAGCTAGGGTGTTTCCTGGAAAATCCTTCTTAGAAAATCCTTCTAAACAATGTTTGAGCCATCAGAAAGATACAGCTAATGCTAAAGATTATGATTTGTTCTCAAGTTCTTAGATTTGCATGTTGCTGTAGCAAAGCCTAATATTTTGAATTCCTGAAAACACAAAGCTTTTTCCAGCAGAAGATGCATAATGCATGAAGTCTAAGAATGATAATTAGTGCTCCTCAGATTTGCACACCGTGCAAAGATCTTTCATTAGATCTATATGATATGCTTGATCTAGGTGCTATATCATGGAGACAAGGCCAGGCATCGCTGGTATCAATGGGACTACAAATCAAGAGTGTTTGTGTTTAGATCATCAAATGAGAGGTTAAAAGGTGGTCTGCAAAATTAAGAGAGAGGCAAATACATTTACCAGTATTAGAACAGGAAGTGCAGAGAGCTAAAGAAAACCTTTCTGACTGAATATAAGTGAACTGCCACCTGACTCATGAAATAAATCAAAATATCCCCGTCCACTTTTGATCAAACACTTCATCCAAATGATACGATGATATCAGTGGAAATTATTTCCTATGTTCCTATGTACCCCTCAGAACGAGCTCCAGTGATCCATCCCCTATGAGCTAGTGTTAGCAGCATGCTGCCATCAACACCCAGAGTAGGTGCAGAGCAGAAAGCAGTAGAATTCCCAGGAGAAGAACTGGCAGGGAAAAAAAATCTCATTTTCAGCTTTCCATTTACAGCCTAAAATAGCCAGTCTGCTGGGAGCAGTAGTTCTTAGCAAAAACAGTGATTATGAGGACTATGGTCTTATTTACTTTCTGCCAGTGTTGCAGCACGCACCGTATACTCACAGGATATTTTTAGTCATGGATTCTGCCAGGCAGAAACACAGAGGAGTTAATCATGTGTAACAGATTAAACAACAGACAAAAAAGCTAGCAGGACTGGGGGGCTGCAGCGGCAGAATATCTTTCTTACCCCCTCTCTAGCCCAGGTTCCCAAATGCATACGGTCTGGGGGATTCTGGGCAGGATAAAGGCAAAGGTTAGTGGTAAGTTTTGAGCTGGGTCAAGCATTCTACAGAGGCTGGCTGAGACCTGTCTGCATTCAGATTGTTGTCAGAGTTAAAGCTCTTGTAGATGTAAATTGTTGAAGTTGACATATTAGCGGTATAGAGCTGTAGGCCTGAAGTGGACTCCTTCCTATCTGCCATCCCTGTGAAAGGCAGCACTGCCTGCTCAGGAATTAGGAATTAAATATGGAATCAGCAAGTTAAGGAGTTAAGGAGATCTACTGTTGGCTGCACACCCATCGTGTCACTGGCATAAGCAGGATGCTCAGAGCCACCTCTGTCTGGAGCAGGAAGTACCTGTGCCAGGCTGTGGCTAGGCCTTGGGAGAGGGATGCCCAAAGTCTTCTTCCTAGGGGGAAGTAAATCACTGCTCTCTTAATTACAGTGAAGGAATGAAGATGGGCTGGAGAAGATGCAGCTTATTCAGGTCTCCTCAACTCACAGGCTGAAGGAAAGCACCAAGTTTATAACCAATTCTGAGTGTTTTCTGGAAGGGCAAATATTTTCCCCTCTAATGGGAAGATGCAAAGAGGATTATGACAGCAATTTCCTTCCTCAGGCACGTTTATTTTCGGGCAAGAGAAACCTTTCATAATAAGTAACTGCTCTTTGTTATGAACCAGCCTGTGTCGGTGACCACAGGACTTCAGGGACACAAAATAGATGCTATCTGCCCAAAACTCACAGTCATTGACTATCATTTTGATTTCTTTACTGGGTAAGAGCAAGAAAATGGCTTTTAAATTAGATGTTGAACCCCTTCCAGAATTGCAATATAAGACACCGAATCAATCATTCTTCTTACAGTTACCTCCCACTCCACAAGCTCCTACTACCATAAAAATTGGTCACTGTAAACTGAGCTGAGTGAATAATTTCCAGTTTCAGATTTGTTTGAGAATATTTTCCTCTTCCTCTGTTCATTATTTGTCTGTTAGCAGATTGATTTTCCTGAATTTATGTTTTTGGAAAACTTGTGCTGTAACCGTTCTGCAAGTAATTCCCTCCATAAATCATGTGTGAGTGATTTGCTGAGGAGTGTTCAAACATTTGTCCTAATTCTGCTCAGCCTCCATGAACTTGCATCTCATGGTATCTGCTCCTCAGCTCCATGGCCACATCAAAGAGCCGGGTTTCCACTGCCTGTTGTCCTTGGGAAAATTCTCACTTTCGAAGCCCCTCCCTAGAAATCTTGCACAGAAAGCAGGAATTACAGAAAACCATTTCAGTCTTAGGCAGACATGTTCACTGAGAGGCTCACAGTTTATCAGCATCTGTGATTTTCACATCAGCTAGCAGATAGCTTTTCTAGCCATGAAGAGAACATCATTTGCACGCTTCACGACTGGGAGCTGCTCCTAGCCAGAGCTTTTGAAAAGCATCATCCCAATTTGTCTCACAAATTGTCTATGCGAGACAAGGCCTTCAATGGCATATAGACTGGTTGGGCTCCAAATAACGACTGAAAGAATGCAACATGTCACCACTGAAAAATTATTCATTAGTTCTCCAGAAATAATTAGAGGATTCTTGTGGTTGTTGTTGCATCTTTATGAGAAACAACTCTATCAAAGCACTGGCAGAGGTGTCTGATCCAGACCCTACTGAAGCCGGTGGAAAGTCCTCATTTTGAAATTATCTGCCCCTGAACAGAGGGAGGAAACTGCCCTTCTCGGCTTGAAAAACAGCATCTTTTCAGATAAAAATTTAAAAGAGGGATTTGAGTATTTACCATGTGTCCTCTTACAAAGAAAGTACTGGAATGCATATGCAATATTGAAAAGTAGGTAAAAGTCAACCCCAGCCCGGCATGCCACCATTAACCACAGTGAGAATTTCAAACCCCAGGCTGGCAGCTTGCCTCAAATATTTCCTTTGAAAACGTTTGTAGAATATGGACCTCGGCTCTTGTTGGTATGCAGCAAAAACACTGTGCTGGTATTTTAGATAATGTAAACAGTTGCTGCAACTGTCACCCAGGCACTTCATGATTGTTCATAGGAGAAGTGGAAATTAACAACTCGTGAAATCTTGATGGCGTCTGCGTTTGTGCCTAGGACATGTGTGGGCATCTCTTCCCAGGTCCTTTGCAAAAGGTACACTTTATGAAAATCTTGAAAAATAATTATTAAAAAAACAATCTGCATAGAGTGACTGAGGAATGCAAGTCAAAAACCAATTAACATTTTTTCCAGATACGAATTTTCCAAAAGGAGATTATGTTTTCCTTCCAAATCAGCTTCTTCTGAAATTATCTTCATATTCACCAGTATAAGAAGGACTTAGTGCACCTTATCAGTGTTCCTGAGCTGCATCTTCTGAGACGGACTGAAATGTTAATTCTTGGTGCTGATAAGTGACTTGGGATTCATTAATTCTGGACCATTCGGTCAGCTGCAAGAAGAAGCTTTTTGTTCCACACAGAGGAGACCAGGCCACTCTTAGGTCGCTTCCCTGTATGCTGAATTGCATTTTATTTCATAAGCATCAACAGGTACATCAGCGTTTCTGTCAAGTCAGTACTATACCCAGAGTAGTGTTGTGTTGCTGCCCATCACGGTGTGTATTTTCTGCTCAGAATGGGTAATACTTCATGTCTGTGTTCTGATGACACCATTTTAGAAATTGGGCACAGAAATTCTTGTGTCACTTTGACAAGCACAGTATTCCTTTTCCTGCCGAAAGTGAATCTCAAATACAGTATTTTGATTTATTTTTACATGCGATTTATGCTGAATCAAGTAAAAGATGACTAGCTTGGAGTTGCATCAGATTTCTTTGCACATTTCACCACTAGCTGTTTCCCCCTCCTCCCCTCCCACCCCCCCCAGTGCCTACATTATGCAACTTCACATTTGGTAATCTGATCCTAATGAATTTTAGGGCAAAGAAGTCGTCACATGCTGGCATGTGTTTTTAAAAAGCTTCATAGGAAATAGTTTCTTTTCATGCATTCTTTTACCTGTAATTATTATACAGATGCATCATGTTATACGTGAGAGGAAAAAAATTGCCCTACTGCATAGTCGACTCCATTTATATCACTGAAAGAGCAGCAATCCAAAGCATAAGTAACCTGAGCTCCATGTGCATTGCCACCCAAGCGAGCAGGACACACAGTGATGCCAAAATGCCGGTGCTGGGTGCAGGTCTGTGTAGCTCCATCCTCAGGGATTGCCTCCACTGGAGCAAAGCGTGTCAAACCCTGCTGTGCTGTGCTCTGCTTCACTGGGTGGCTGTGGGAAATACTATAAAATAGAGCACACTGTGCACCATGCACCTCATTCTACAGAGCAGGTATAGACCCTGTGATTACACCACAATGCCTGGCACATACCATGTAAATACGCAGCAATTGCATGTTCCTACAGCTTACTTGTTAATTACGCATTGTTACCAACAAGTTCAAAGATAAATGATCATAGCACATGCAGCACTTAGATGCTTGCAAACCTCTTAAGCTATGAATTTGTACTATTAAGTGCCACTTTTGTTGCTCTTCCATTGGGAAGGGAAGCACGGCGCTCTCCCGGCTGAAGGCCAGCAGTTGGAGCACACAGCTCTCACTGGTGCAGAAGAGGTATGCTGAAGCACTTCATCCAAGGAGGAAATCTGGATGAATTGACAAAATAACTTCCATTAACAAATCACTTTGCAAATTCCATTTAGTAATCCTCCTAAGCAAATGCTGTATTTAAAATCACTGGCACTTGCATGCAATAGAACTAACAGTTTTCCTGACCCAATATTTAATTTTGCACAAGCTAAAAATGAGAGGAAAACCTCATTCCACTGATGTCACTGGCAAAACTCCTATTGATTTCAGTGAGGCAGGGTTCTACCCAGGCAGCTTACTTGTAAATGGGTTCTTGAAATAGCTTATATTATATTCTGGCAGAAATAGATCACCATGTAAGGCCGCTTCACAGCCCGTGCTGGCTCTTCTGTGAGCCGCACTGCAGTATTTTAGACTACAACATACAACTTTTAATAGCTACCTCAGTAGCATTGTACAAAATACAATAATTCTCTATAAACATTGCTTTTCTCCAAAGTGAAGCTTCCCTGTAAGATATGATTCTGTAATGGTTTGGGGTCAGCTGTATATATAGGCACCCACACTGGATTATCTTGCTTTTTTTTTTTGTTTTAATTGATTGGTTGTTTGTTTCTTTTTTTTTTCCCTCTGTTTTTCCTATTTCCATATTGATTTTCAATCTGAAAGGTGATGTCGATGTGTTTAAGTAAGGTCAGGAGGCAGCTTCATAGCTGATGTGAGCGTGAGCTCTCAGGCTGGAGGTAGCGCCAGTGGCTATCAGGAAAAGAGGGAGCTGGAGGAGGCTGGTCTTGCTGGAAAAGCAAAGCACTGGAATTTGTTCAGGTGACAGGGGAGCACAAACCAAAAGAAGATTGAAGAGAGTACCAAGAAGGTATGCCAGGATGCAAGTTGAGGTTTTAGTTGGAACGGAAGACTGTCTAGGAATGGCGAGTGAATTTACATTTGTGTTGAAGGCTCCTTAAAGATGAAGGGTCAAGGAAGCAGGGAGAGAGACCAGAAGGAGGCAGGGAGGCGGAGGAAGCAAAAGGGTGATGATGTTCAGCCTGTTTTGAAAGAGCATCTAGGCAGGAGAGAGCCTGGCATGCCAAAATGAGATTGCATTTCAGCAGGAAGACAACAGCTGGCAACGTGCAAGGCAGATTTTGAGGTTAAAGACAAGAGCAAGGAAAGGGAAAAGAAGGTTTATAGAAGCCAAACAGGAACAGAGTGGGATTAGATCACTGCAGCAACATATAACATTCCACAGAGCTTTGTTATCTGCTGTGTTCTTTAGTTGCAAGTGCAAGATGGTCAATCATTTCTAAAACAAAATGCATTCAAATTGCAGTTCCTTGATTCTACATTAGAAAATAACTTCTTATGCAGAAGGACTGTTATTTTGAATGGATTCAATTTTATCTAACCTGTACTGACTTTAAATAAAAGAGAGGTGCACATCTCCAGTGCTGGAGATCCAGCGGTGTAACGGAGGCTTGCTGGCCCCGTGGCTGAAATCAACAGGTCCTTTAAAGGCAGTGATGGATCCTTGTTCTGATGGATTTACTTTGCTGTCCTTCCCCAGCTTTCACTCCCTCCTCAACCCTACTCTGGAGCCTGAAGAAATGTTTGCAGGTTTTCCTACATAATAGGCATATTTCTAATTCAAACTGAAGGCCAAGCTCTTTTTTAATTCCTAGTGACTAATTTTGTTCCTCCTGAAATCTACAGCACAGTTCCTGCTGCCTGCAGTGGTACCAGGTGTGGTTTGACCGGCCCACAGGCGACCTTGGAATTCTAATGAAAAAATCCTAAGTATACTGAGTGGGGAAAACACTCCATAAATATCTTAGGAGAACATGGTTACCTCGAAAAAGGCTAATTATTTTGATAGTTACTCGTTCAAAAAGAAAAAAAGAAAAGTCTACTCAATGAGAGGAGAAATTAAAAATTAGGAATCTCACAAAAACAGACAGCAGAATATTGCATTCAAGAGGACAGCCACCAATTAAGAGAAATGTCAACAATTCAAGTGGCAACAACTTCAAAAGGGAAATCTTTTCCTCATTTTCATACGCATTCTTCATAAACAACATCAAGAAGTGTAACATGCTAATAGCTAATAACACTCAGAATAAGATTCACTAATTTACTAACTGAATAATTTAATGCATATCAAAGGAATGATTTTCTCATTTCATTCTTTTTTTAGATCTAACGCTAAGCTGGGTATTATCAAGTAGATGAAACTGCACAGATTACAAGTCATCACTGAAATAGTCATTTTAGAATTGAGTTTGTTTTTTCCATTGCATGTATCCTTTAAGGAATCATATTCCTTTTTTTCTTATTCTTACAATGGATAGCAATAAGTAAATAGATAAATAAATACATAAATAAATAAAAGAGCAGAAAAGAAAAACCAGCTGTGCTGAACTAAGGCAGGGAGATGGGATGTGGTGAGCAGTGTGCCCCATGGTCCCTTGGCTGGGGGGCCCACGGTCCTGGCACGATGGCTCACACACGTGCTCGGCCCCAGGTGCACAGGGATAGGTTTGAGTTGTGCTGCAATGGAAGGTGCTCACCCCAGCACCACACACCATGGAATGAGGGCGGCAGGCTGGAACCATTGGCTTTGTGGCAGGTGGAGCAACTTTTGCAATCGGGAAAAAAACCCAACATTCTCATGCTGCCAAAATATGAACAAGGTGCTTCCTCAGAAATATTCTGCCACAGCCGTTGGTCGATATCAATTCTTCATGTACACTGGACTTCCTCCAAGGAAAATGGCATAATTTCAGCAGGCTTTCTGATGAAAAAACCTCTCTGCACTGTTGTTTTTTTTTAACTCCTGCAAAGTCTTTCACTTCGAGTCATGAGCTTTCAGCGCAGCAACATCTCATGGCTGCGACCTGTGGTGACTGCCATCAGGCAGCAGTAAGCAGAGCTGCTTTGGGGTCCCCGGTGTGGCTGTGCCCAGTCAGGTGGCAGGCTTGGCAGCAACGGCACAGTGTGAAATCAAACAGGGAATGGGTTCTTTTGTGTTTTGCTTTGTTTTTTGCATAATATACCTCCCTTTGTGAATGCCCGGGTTCCTTACCTTGGGAGAAAAACAAGAATTTCCCTATCTTCTTTTATACCACCCATTATTTTGCATATCTGTAGGTCTTTCATTAATTTCCTTTTAAAAACAAACTCTCCTACTCCTTTCAGATTCGTATGCAACATCAAAGCATTTCAGTGAATTTTTCATTCCATTTATATGCCAGCTCTCTGGTGATGGAGTCAGACATGTTGTGGTAGTCCTGCAGGCAGCAAAGATGCCCAGCTTCTCTACCACTGCTGAAGTTCTCCTTGCTGTAAGCACCAATTAACTCGGAACAGCCCCTCAAATAGCAAAAAACCATCCTGTGATAACCCTGCTGCCTTGAAGAGGGCAATGGGACCAGCGTGCTTTATCCTTAAAGGTAAAAAGACAGCTGTGGTCTGTGTGCTAAAAGGAACTGAGATTTATTTTTAACTTCCTTTTTTTTTCCTGTGCATTGTGAAGAAGCTGAATCATTCTATTTTTATTTAGGAGGAGGCTATAAGGGAGAGAAATAATCTGATATATTTTAGAGACACTTCCAAAGAACAGAGGCTGTCATGGTGCAGTGACCCATGCCAAAGAAAACCTTATTTTTCCAGTAATGTCACTTGGGCTCAGTTCTCCACCAAATATATTTTCAAGAATTTTTGTACTAAACTGAGAGTTCAGTATAACGCTTCTGAGAATTCAGATCAGTCTCCCTTTGTCAGTGCTGAGTTTAGGAAGTCGTGAAGGCAGTCTGCATCATAGTGGTACTATGAGTGCTCTGAAACAGAACCGTATCATATATCTGTTTTCATTCTTCTGCTTGAGACATACCTTCAGAAAGGCAGTTTCTGATGACATGTTTGGGCAAATGATGCCTTATCTGCATGCTTTTTTAATGTATCATCCTGATCTGGTAACTTGAATGCCATAACAAGAAAGCTATGTTAATTGTACATGTTTATAAGTCAGTGCAGTCCAAAACACATGCCTTAAACTATCTGCCTCAGAAAGTCTGCAGATTGTTTGAGAAGTCAGAGATGTTCCCTCTCTGCGAGGGGAATCACGGAACTTTTCAGACCAAAAATCTTCAAACACAGTAATTTTAGCCTCACGGATATTTTATATTTCTCCTGCCTAAAAATAAAAACCACTAAGTATATGAACTGCTGCTGTAAATAAAAGCACGAGTAACAGAGTTCTACTGTTGCCGAGCTCCTCCTCCCACTTGATCTCAGCAGTCAGCAAGAACACTTATTCAGTATTAAGTTACAGTAAAGAATTGTTGACTGTGGTATAATTGAGAGCAAAGATAAAGTCAAGTCAGTGAGTTTGCTTCAGCTTGCAACATTTCAAAGAAAGCCTCTAAATTTGTTTAGATCTTAAAAATGAAATCTTATAGGACATATTTGTTAACGGTAAAAATGCTTCTCCATTAAGTAATTCGTATTGAAATGCACAAAGTTAGTGTTATTTGCTTCTAAGTTAGATTTCATTCTAAATAGTGTATGTTAAAAACTTTGACTACTTCATGCCAAATGCTTTACACATTTCACTTTAATTAAATTCTGCCAGAGAACCATGTTACATAAGCCAATACAAAAAGCACTCTCAGAGAGCGTGGGTAGAGTCCAGGTGCCCTTGCACTGACTAGTGAAATTCCTACAGAACTCATTGGAGGCAGGATTTTACTGTTCATTCTGTACACTTTTTATACATAGGCATTTAAAATCACTTTGTTATTTAGTACACAAGATCTTCAGCACATTATTTTTAAAAACTTTTATTTTAATGAGCTCCGGGCTGTCATTTCTCACTTTTGTTACTAGATGAGTCTTCCTTCAGATTTCAAACACGTCTAGTTTCAAGTATGTTTGTAATTGCCAGAGTACATAACAGATGCCAGTTTAGATAAGCTTCCAGTCTGTGGATGGAGGTAGGCATTTGCTCTCATAATCTGCAGCTTTACTGCAAAATTTGAGAATTGCCTGTTCTGGGAGTATTGTGTGCCATTAGCACTTAGGGATTCCTTAACTGCACAGTAATACGTTCAGCAGTAAGGCACAGGTGGTGAGGACAAAGAAGTAAAAATAAAAACAAATAAATAAATTTAAAAAAGGATAATCTTTAAGATTGCTAGAATAATACCTAAGCAAAACAATTAAACTGTGAAGTATTTTTCAGCTGTGTGAGATGAAACGAAGTGAGCAGCACTTGCACTAATGCCATCATTCTTAGGCACACCCAGCTCTGTGCTGCAGTTCCCTTCCTGCAGGCAGCGCAGCCCTCAGGGGAGCATGCTGCCTGGTGCTGGACACTCACTGTGGTGGATGTGTCACATCACACTGGTGCCAGATTTCAGCTCCACGTGCAGCTCTGACTCTTGTTCACAACAGTGTAAGAACAACAATCAGCTTGTGGGAGGATGCTCTGCAGACATGCTGTGGGGTTTGGTGTTTTGGTACAAAGGGAACAGGAGAAGGATGGCTGCCCTGGGACAGCCCTGCTTGGACACACGGCCGCGGTGGGTGAGCCGCAGCCCTGCAGCTCCTCGAGATGCTGCTGGCGTATGGCTGGGGAATGGGGGAGGCTGTCTGAGCATTGCTCATCTACCTCCATTCAAAGTTACTCTGCTGATATTTTTTTCAAAGTTGCTAAGCTGTTACCTGGTTACCATAGCCTGGTAACCACTCAGGCAGATACGGGCTTTTTCTTCCCAGCAGGTAAGCGGGTGACCCTCACTGAGTCAGTCAGCCCAATGGCACCAAAACCACTCAGCTGCAGGCCAGGATGAGGCTCTGTGAGAAATGTATTTGAAGTGTTCAGAGGAGCGCTGGGTATGAGATATGATTAGTTCTGACAATGCTTATTCAATTTAAAATATGCTTAACCGGTTTAAAAATAAAACCACAGACTCATTTTGACTGCAGCCCAGTCCCGAAGCTATTTCAGCATGCACTGCCCATCCCAGACCTTATATTCTGATCTGGCTGTAACGTGGCTATTAATAGAGCAGAAGTTGGGGGTGCAATTGGCGAGGTGGGCAAGCAGCTCAGCAGCCACGTGCTGGTGGGTCGGCCTGGCCTGGACCACCATCCTGTCCACACTGCTACCAAGCCCACTTGCCTCTGTGCCAGGAGAGCAGCACATCAAAGGTACCCACAGCCCTGAACTGCTGCAGGACTTTAAGAGGCATGCTCCCGTGCTGTATTATGCAGGAGGGGATCAAAAGTCAGTCTATATGCAGAGAGTATCTGGAGAACTAAACTGGATTCTTCTGGAAACCACAAATGCACTCATTACTGAGAACTATGTAATATTTACTTTTTTTTTTTTTTTTTCCCCTCCAGAACTAAGATACAAATTTGTACAAGTTTCTTAAGTGGGGTTTTCCAGGGACAAACTTTATAGGTTAGCTCTTCATTTCTTGCATTCTTCATAAATATTCAATTCAATGCATTTCAATTGTTTTTCTGACTTACATTAAAGTTGAGGAGATCACAGGTTAAACATTGTGAAACAGCATTAAAGGGATAAATGAAGAGAAAATAATCTGTATAAATCAATATTCCTTCTGTCAGGCAGAAGAGCTACAGCACAAATATCTCAGACTCTTCTAAAAAAATTAAATCATTAATTTGAAAATGTGGGTGTACATTTAAATGTTACCTCTTGCCAGACCAGCACTTACCTGATACCTGCTCAGCTCTGCTGCTCTGTATAGGCTGTGGGGTCTGCAGGAGCACACTGGCAGATCTGTGAGCATTTCCTGAAACAGAAAAGGCAGGAATGGTTTTGTCTTGTATCTATTTGGGTTCAAACATCATTGATGTAGTAAAAAGGGAAAACAAACAAATGAAAAAAAATAACCAACACCCAAGAAAAAGCCAACAATCACTGAGTAGCAATGTGCAAGGCTCTCATTTCCAAAGACACCATGGTTGCACAGCCTTACAGAGAAAGGAGAGGAACCCAGTAACCTGCCAACAGCACTACCTGAGCAGGCCAGACAGATCATTTGCATGGCAAGCAGAACTCCCAGGTCAAAGGACTGAAAAATAGGTATCTTAAAAATCACTTGCAAAATTCATTCCCAGTGCCAATTTTGTTCTGTGACCAGACACCTTATCCACACAACCAAGGGCTCTTTTAAAGCAGTTTCAGGGCTCATTCACACAAACAGGTGCTCGTGCAACTGCAGGTATAAACTCCCTGGCTCTGGGTGCATCGTGTACCCAAGCAGTGTGCCTGGTCACTGAGCACAGCCTGCTCCTCGCTCCCTGCTGTGCTGCAATCTCACATAAACTGAGGGCAGATTAGAGAAACCTAATACGCTCTAGGACTGTAAAGGGATTAATCTCACATAAATCTTCACCAAAAAAAAATCAACATTAGTTGATTTATTTACATGCATTTTATTTTCCAATGAGAAAACAAACCTCCCTTTCTCTTGGAAAAGTCTTTTCAAAATTTTAATGGCTTTGGTTTTGCATTTAAAATCCCCAGCACTACAGTTAACCTATATTCTTGAGCTCAAATAAAAAGCTAAGAGCACGTATTTTAGAGGAGGGCTTAGCAAGCTTTTCCATTTCATTACTAGATATCTATTACAGGGGCAAGATGCGTACTTTCATCTCACTGACACACTGTTTTACGTATAAACATCTTGACCAGCACCGTGTTGTCAGTGGTTAGCAGATTCAGTGTGTTTTGGCTGAATTTCTGAAGGGGAAAACTGCGACTTGCACTCTAAATATTTTTTCTGGAAAATGGCTTCCTCAACAGACTGTGGGCATCTTGGAGGGAATTCCAGCAAACATTCCATCAAGAGCAGCGTGCTGCTGGCGGGTGCCGACATGCCAGCCTTGGGAACTGAAATTGGGCACCCGTGGGTCCCACAGAGCTGTGGGCAGAAATTATGCCAATGTTGTTGGCGCTGCTGACTGAGGCTCGTTTGAGATCCAATCTGATTTACGGTAAGACATTCTACATTGGGGAAGTCTTGAGGATTTTAGTTAATGTTTGTTACTAGCAGATTTTATTAATATTTGTAGAGTTTTACTTAACATGTCAGCAATCTTTAATTGCTCTTCTTTCCTGTCTTTCTGGAGTGCTGCAGAACACCTGTGGACAGGGAAGAGGCTGGGTGAGGAGCACGAGACCAAGAGTTTGGAACCTGGATGGCGCTGAAGGCCACTGTGAATGTTAATTATGTCACTTCATGCTTTTACAGTGCTCCTTGTGCTTAAAGCACCACACAGACTGCTAGTGATTAGTGATCTGATGGTTCTGAAATGATCAGCAGTGTCATTTAGGCTGTCATTAGGACACAATTAGCAGCCCTCTGATTGGTGCACTGCAGCCCAGAGCAGGCTAATGGGGCTGCAGGGCAGCGAGGGGACACTGCTGCCTCTCCTCACCCTGTGCCCGCTGCAGCCCTGCATGGAGCTGGACTGAGGGCAGGGCACAAAGCACCCCTTGTGTCCTGCCCATCATGCCAGAACTTGGGGATTTCTGAGAGCTATAAGGAATGTGCCTGCAGATCTGACCATCCACTGCTCCACCACTCTGTGTTTCAAAACAGGTGGGTTTTTTTGTTTTGTTTTGTTTTTTTGCTTGATTTATAGAGCACTTGGCTTTTTGCAGCAGCAGAAGATACAGTGGCAAGGGTCTCAGGGGTGACATTCTGGAATCTAAGGGCACCACATTTGGGTAAGATGAAGAATTGAGTTACTCTAGCAGACTGAAAACCAAGGTCTGGCTTGGACCGTGTTCCTGAACCTAGCATTCTTACTCCAAGCTTAGGTAGTGAACTCTTTCACTGACGTGCTTTAGATACTTGTGTTAATAGCATAAATGTCAACAGAAATGACATGTTTTTAAAATGTTAGAGTTGCTCTTCTGAAATGGTCCAAGCATATATTTTTAGCTTCTACAATCTCTTCTGATTACACCACTTGCAAAGGTATCGTATTTCTTGTCACATTTAGCTATAGTAACGTGTCAGTAGCTGTACTACTGCTGATTCCTCTGCATAAAGCACTGTAGAATATACTTCAAATACTGGCTTTTTGTGTGTCTCACACAAGTAGTCATTAATACCAAGGGAACAGCATGCTACTGTTCCAGGTTTTCTAAGAACTAATGCTATCGCTCTCCACCAGCTCCTGTTGCTGGATCCACAATGCCTTTATTATTTATGTTTTTACTCTTGAAAATTCAAATTTAGATCTGAAAATTTTCATGCTTTTGTTTTTTCAAAATAATTAAAGCAGGCAAATGGACCTGATGTAATCTGCATAGTGTGCACCATGGCAGTGAAAGCACTGCTTGTTCTCTGAAAGGAGTAATTCTTCCAGCTGGCGTCCCATGGCCCCTCCCCGTGCGGCCGCCTTTCCCATACACTCAGGGGACCTGCTGCCAGTCATTTGCTTGCCCCGGAGGTTTGCTACAGTGATATTATGGTTTGCTGGATGTCTGTGCCCGGCAGGTTTGTCTCTAAGCATAATTTAGTGTTTTGCAGTTCTGCTGGTGCAGCGATTGCTTTGCCGAAGCACCATCCTCTCCCTGGGTGCTCGGGGTACACATTGCTCCGTCTGCACACGGCCTTCACAGCAGGCTTGCAGGGATCTTTTCTCCTCCTCTGCCATCCCCATAGTAAGTGGCATGTTTTCAGATATGTTCCATCCACAAAGGATTTGAATGTTGGCCTAGCATATTTTACTGGTACTTGAATGGCTTAAAGAAAGTATTTGGAAAGTGGCAGATGCCTTTGGAAAAGACTGGAAGAGAAAAAAATACATTAGATGGGGGTGTTAGCAGGTCAGCTGGCCCAGGAAAACAGAAAAAAAGTGCAGTGCAGAAGTGGTTGCCAGCAAGCAGCCGTGTAATGCCCACCTCGGCAGCCACCAAGCTCCTCCTGGCCCCTCTGCTGTGACACACTCAGCCTCTCTGCCTCAGTACTCATTCTGTACAAGAACTGTGAACTGCTGTACAGATCATTCAGGCAAAACAGACTTCCCAAACCTGCTTTTTTTCAAACACATAAAATAGGTATTGTCTGAGGAGGAACAAGCACCAGGTAGTACAACACGTGATGTAGGTGGGGTTTTTTCATCACCACAGCAGCGCTCCAGGCGCGCGGGCAGCAGCTGGCACCAAACTGCTAGCATGGCTGCTGGGCACCACCACAACACAGGGAGATAATCGTGCTGCTTCTGTCACAGGAGCAACAGACCTGCAAAATGAAGACGCCAAGTGGAATTCCCAAGTAATAAGGAATCATTCCTCCACTGGTGCCTCTGGTGGGCCACTGCACAGTGTAGGTAGGCCATCAGGATGCACTTCTTCATAGGAATGTTCCACGGGACACATGTGGAAAACACACTGAGTGCACAACAGCTTGGGAAAACTTAGCAGTTTGGGAGGAATTAACAAAGAGACAACAGTGTTTGTCTTGACAGTAAAGGAAGAGGTATGAAATAAAACAGCTTACCACAACATGGCTTCTGACTAAGAGTGAAAAATGTAATGAGGAAGAATGTACTTCGGATAAACATACATTCTGTTAAGGTAAGTGAAAAAGCATGTGCCAGTAGGAGGGAAAAAAACACGACTTCTTCCTGTACAGTCACCACCAGCAACCATTTACATGAAGCAAGTGAGGAGAGCAGACTTCCTCAGCACCAGAACAGAACAGTGTCTCGGATAGGCAGAGAGGTCTAGGCAGAGAGGACATACAATTTATTGACAGCTTTCACAGAACACTAAGGGTCTATTTGGCCAGCTGGGAAGGAAGAAAGAAAAACAAGAAGTCAGTAAACGGTCATTTACTGTGCATCTCTTAAAGTCCTTGTAGCAGTTGTCAGTCTTACACTAAGAGACAGAGAATTTGAGAAAGGCAGAAAGTCAACGTGGTTACTGAAAAGCAAGTGATGATGATGCAAAATTAGTTGATGCATTCATAGCTGTCAGTGAGAATGTGCAGAAGAATATTCTCCTCCTGAGCACCAGCCCTCCTGCACAAATTCAATGCTGCACCAAACCAGACAGGATACGGACACAGCCACCAGATAAAGCTGATACCAGTGAAAAGATGCAAGGCATATTCACTGGCCACTAATGTCACCAATTCCTCACCATTTTAAATTCCCTTGGAAGCTGAATTTCAAATTAAGTTGAAATACTGGAATTTGATTGTGGTGAGTAGAAACTAAAAATTTTGGGAAAGTGCTTTGCAAAGATAAAGTTTTATAAATGAAACTATGAGAATTGATATTACCCAACCTCTGCTGGAAGCATAACATTCCTTCCTGTAGACTAAGGGAATACTGAACTGTTTTAGCATTAAATGTGTTTAAGCTGAAAAATCACCTATAGGTTTCTCAAATCACATCTTGCATAAAGCTGAAAATGTAAGAAGTTCCAGAAATAGCCTGAAAATCATCTAAGAGCTGATGCTGATGGAGAGACTGATGAGCATTTCAATGACTCAGGTGCCTCCCATATGCACATCTTTTTGTCCTAAGAAGAAAACGTTCCACCATTAGCTACCTTAGACATTTGAAAAAAGTTACTGTTTGCTAAGCAAGATGGTCTTTGTAGATATTTTGAAAGCTTACAGGGATACCTGAAAACAGGAATTCTTTAGTTGTATAAATTGTATGATTTTATATAGTTTAATTGCACTGAGCTAAGAGACATGAAAGGGACACTCACCTGGCAGAAACTGCTGTGGTACAAAGCTGGAGCCAGACTTCAGTGACTGACAATTTTTCTAACCAAAGTAATTTTCTACCTCAATTTTTCTCATTTTGGAAGTATTTTAGGGTAAGTGGTAGGCATGCCCCATAACTTAGGAAAAAAGGGAAAACAATGAAATAACTTACTAAACTCACATACTAAGGATGGAGGTGAGTCAACCTGGACAAGTGTCCCAGCAGAAGTGTTGTTGTTTTTACATAATCCACACGAAGAGTCTGCAAGCTTCTGTAAACAAAGATTTGAATAAGTACATATGCAAAAAATTTACCGCGAGAGAAGATAGGGTCCATTTTATCACTGCATACAATCTACCCCTACTACAGTCAGATTACAGAAAAGGGAAATAGGGCAGCTAACATCTCAGCCGACACAAGAATCTCAGCAGTTCCTGGATGCTTACTTCCAAATGTCTGTATTTCCATACAGAGATACTGGTAGAACAGACACATGTCCCCTTGTGCACTGAAGTGACAACGCGTGCGGGTGCCCTGCATCAGGACAAGCTGTGGCCCGCTCCCCATCCCAGCTGCAAGCAGACAGGACAGCTTTGCTACTGCAGCAGCAGTGAGGACTGTGAAGTTCTGTGGCAGGAGGAACTTGATGATGTGCGGCAGGGTGAGAGAGAAGGAGAAACAATAAGGGAAATCAGATAAAACCAGTATTTCTCACGGATATATGTATCAATTATCTCCAGGCACACGTACCCACCAAGGTTGCCCTGGATAGCCCATTCCACTGCCTATATCCACATGCATCTCACGGTGGGACCCGAGTTCGTTAGCAGACGAAGAAAGACTGAAATGATAACATTCATCTCTATGTTCTTGCCCTGACATGGTTATTCATTAGTTCTTCCTAATGATTGTTCAGTTCCTTCCTTCTAGGGAGCCACTCCTAATTCTCTTCTATTCAGGTTGTTTAATGAGTCACTGACTTTAATAATAATTTTTATTAACCCTTCCCTTACACAGCTAGCAGACCGTCATGTGTTGTGCTGAGAAACAAGCTCCTCAGTGCCTTTCCTCTGTTACGCCATTTTCTTACATGCCGACTGACTCCTGCAGGCTTTCTGCTGCTGGTTGTTGAAAAAAATGCCTTGTTTGTCTTCATGCCTTCAGTTAATTGCTTTTTAAATCTTATTCTACCTGCTTTCCTGCATAATTTTGCTCTCCATGAATTATACTGCTTTTCTAACTGCCTTCTTGTCCAGCCAAATATTACTTAACAAAAAAATAGCTATTTGTGTCAAACGACTTCTTCAAGCACTGTGTTCCCATCCTGCTTTACCTGTCTCTTCTCTTTCTCCCAAGGAGGGAGGGTTGTGTCCAGTTTCACACAGTGAGCCTGCAGCGCTCAGTAACGCTGTGCTCACCCTACTCCATGGGAAGCATCACAAAGTTACCACTTCAGGTGCTTTGGATTAGTATTCTTTTTTACAAAACAAGAGCAACAGAATGAACAAATGAAAAATAAACACCAAAGTAACCTTAAGAAATGTTTTATTTCTGTGTGACTTGTCATTCCTAACAGTAATGAACATAAATATCCTGTGAAATAAGTGCTCAGATGTTGATTTGTCCTTCGATCAGTGACCAGTTGTTCCTCAAGAATAATCTGAGCATGGGCTACACTCTGTATGGCCAAAAAAAGATGAAAAAAGCATGTCTTAAATGCCTGTTTTAAAGAATGGAATAAAAAGGAATGAAAGAAAGGATTGGATTCTGAACAGTGTATTGAAGGAGTACATAACTGTCCCTTGGCTGTTTGTGATCAAACCTCGCACTTCACACAGCCGCAGCGTCTATTATGCGGAGGCACGTCTGAGCAGCTGCTTTCTGTGCACCTCACGCATGGCGGCACTTGCTCTTTTGACCAAGTTTTGGGCAATTTTGGAGTAGATAGAACTGTTCTTTCTCCTATGTCTTCTGTCCTCATATTAGCAGTGTGGCCATGTATGCTTTTTAGAACATTCTGTGCTTTGTTACTTAGATGTTATTGTAACATGTGATGACTGCTATAGAAAACAAGTCCATGTGATTATTTACTTAGGGAACCACACTCAGACCATTACGAAAACGGATTTCTAGGAAGAAATGTATTTCCCATTGACTACTTCCACAGCCCTGCCAGTATCACTGCTCTCAGGCGGGGCATTCACTTTAGGTGCAAATCCAGCCTCGACAAAGTCTCGTAACTTTTTTTTTTCGGACTGATAAAACATCGGTGTGAACAGACAGCACAGACAGCTCGATGTGCTCTGAGCCTAGCGTTACTCCTTCAAGCACAGCTCTGGGCCTTTTTCAAACGGCTCCACGCAGCCGCAGCAACGTTACCCCTGCAGCCGGTCGGGCTCTTCCCGGCAGTTTGTGCGTACATTTATCTGCACTCACGGCGAGGGCCCGGGCCTAAATCCAAGCGCTCCTCCCAGGCACCCTCAGGCCGCGCGGGCAGCGCTAACTGCTGGGCTGCGCGAGGCGAGGACGGGCCGCAAGTAGCGCTGCCCGATAGCGGCCGCGAGGGCCCGCGCGGCTCCGCCAGAGGGAGCGGCGAGGCCGGCACAGCGCGCGGCACTTGCCCGGCCCCGCGAGGGCGGGGAGCCCGAGCCGCGGGCAACAGGTGCCGGCAGCCCCCGGCCCTGCGTGGCGGCGGCAGCGCTGCCCCGCCCGACCCAAGGGGAAGCGGCAGCCCGATCTGCGCCCGCCCCGCTCCGAGGCTCGGAACCCCTTCGGCCGCGATGGCACCGCTCAGAGCGGGGCGCGGGGAGCCGAGCCAAGCCGTGCCAAGCCGTGCCGTGCCGTGCCGTGCCGTGCCGCACCGCATACACACCGCACCGCGCTGGCTCCCACCGCCCGCCCCAATCCTCCGCCCCCGCGCAGCCCCCTCCCCTTCCCCGCCACCCGCTTCCGCCCGCGGCCCCGCGCTCCCGCGCATGCTTGGGTTATGCAACAGCCGCGGCGGGCGCGCTGCGCGGGCCGCTCCGCGCCGGGGCCGCAGGGCAGGGCAGGGCAGCGCGCGGGTCCGTGAGGGCGGCGGCGGCGGCTACCGGGCGGGCACCGGTGTCGGGGGCGCGCCCCTCCCCCCCCCCCCCCCCTTCCCGCCCGGCTCCGGAGCGCGCGCCCCGCGCGGTGAGTGGCAGCGGCGGCCGCCGCCAAGTCCCGCCCGTTCCGCTCTCCCTGCTGCAGGCGGCGGCGGCGGCGGGTTGGCTTCCTGCGCTGTGCCGCTCCCCCTCCCCCCGGCAGTCGGAGCCGCAGCGGCAGCAGCCCGGATCCCCGAGCCATGGCTCTGTGAGAGCAGCACATGGCGGCCGCGGCAGCCATGAGCCCCCCCCTGATCCATACGACCCCCCGCTGAACGGCCGCCCGCAGCCTCCAGCGCGCCCGCCCGGCCCCGCCGCTCCCACCGCCCGCCCGCAACTCCCGGCCCGAGCCCGGACCGCGCCGCCACCGCCACCACAGCCGCCTCCGCCGCCGCCGCCGCGGGGCCTCCGCTCGCCCGCCCGCCGCCGCCGCCGCCGCCGCCCGGTGCTCACCATGGGAGTGCAGGGCTTCCAGGACTACATCGAGAAGCACTGCCCCAGCGCCGTGGTGCCCGTCGAGCTGCAGAAGCTGGCGCGGGGCAGCCTGGTGGGGGGGGGGGCGGCAGCGGCCCCCGCAGACCCCGCTGCGCCTCCTCATCGACGCCGACAACTGCCTGCACCGGCTGTACGGCGGCTTCTACACTGACTGGGTGAGCGGCGGGCAGTGGAACCACATGCTGGGCTACCTGGCGGCCCTGGCCAAGGCCTGCTTCAACGGCAACATCGAGCTCTTCGTGTTTTTCAACGGCGCCCTGGAGAAGGCCCGGTTGCACGAGTGGGTGAAGCGCCAGGGCAACGAGCGCCAGACGGCGCAGCAGATCGTCAGCCACGTCCAGAACAAGGGCACCCCGCCGCCCAAGGTCTGGTTCCTGCCGCCCGTCTGCATGGCGCATTGCATCCGCCTGGCCCTCATCCGCTTCCACATCAAGGTGAGCCCCGGGCCCGCTTCGATCCCCCCTGCTCCGGGCGGGCCGGCCGGCCGCTCGCGGGCGCCCCCCCCCCCCCACCTCCCAGCGGGGCCGAGCCGGGCGGGGCGGGCTGCGCTGCGGGGCCGCGCTAAGATGGCAGCGGCGGGCCTGCCCTGCCCTGGCCTTGTCCGGCGCCGGGCACCGCGCGGCCCTCGCCGAAGGATGTCGGCCCGCGGGGGCGGCCACGATCCGCGGGGATCCGCCGTTCGTAGCGCCGAGCGAGCGCCGCGCTCTCTCCCGGCCGGGCCCCGAGCGGAGCCGCGAGGCCCTGGGCCACCATGTTCTTTGGGGCCAGACTCCGCGCGCTCAAAATGTCCCTCTTCGGCCCGGCGCCGCTGCCCGCCGGGAGTCGGGAGGAAAAGAAATCGGCCGCCCGGGTCTGCAACAAGTCCCGGCCGGGCCGGCGCGCTCCAACTTGCCGCGGAGCTCCTCCGGGCCCTGAGCGGAGCGCTGAACGCCTCGGGTCGGCGCGGGCGGAAGGGCGGCCCGGCGGCGGGGTGCGGCCCTGCCCGGGGGAGCCGCGCTCGGCCTGGAGGCCGCGGCCGTAGCGATGTCCGTGGCTGTAGGAGCGCTGCTGAAAACTTGAGGCGGCCCCTAGCCCGCGCGTTTTCTTGTAGCAGGGAAATTGTCGCGTTCACCGAGCACAAAGTTACAGACCCCGTGCGGCGAGGGTGGTAGCCTCGCTCTGGTTGTGGATGCACCGTCAATCTCGGCTTGTTACGGAGATGTAGAGATCCATAGTGAAAGTGGCGTATGCGTGACATAAAATCCACGCTAAAATATAAATGTTACTGCAGTATCGCAATAAATAGCATGCAATACGAAACCGCTGTTCTAACGGTGATAGGAATCGGATGTTTGGGTACGTTGGGCTCTGACACGGGCAGTGCTACACGCCAGTTCCTTAATGCTGAAGTGCCGCTCTTGGCAGCGGTGTCACCTGTAGCTCCATGTTTGCTCTCAGGCTTAGCGGCAGCATTAGCTGCTTTGCCGTTTTGCGGTAATAGGCCTTGTCCCTAATCTCCACAAACAGTTTTAGGATGTGTCGTGCTGGGCCCCATGTATAATCCTCATATAAAAATGGAAGGGAGTTCAGTTTTGCTGAGCGGAGGGTGATGTTTGTGTAAGGTGAGCACTTAGCAGGCGGCGCAGCCAGCTGCGTGGGGCCATTCCCTGGTGCTGGCTGTGAGGCAGGACGGAGGGCTGTGCTGTGCTGCACAGGGGGTGGTTTGCTCTATTTGATGCTTCTGTGCAGCTGTTGGGGAGCTGCTTGGGTTGGTTCACGTCCAGGGTAGGTGATGTATTTCATGGTTATGGTGGCTGCATACATAATACTGTCTGTTCAGAACTGTTGCGCTTGAATCATATTCTTGTTCTCTTTTTTCTTTTCCTCTTACACACTTTAATCTCTTTATAAGTCAGCTTTATTGCGTGGATATTTCCCATTCTCCCCCCACTCTTTTCCCAGCAGCCCCCCTGGTGGGCATGCAGCGGAAGGACCTCACACGTGTGATTGTTGTTTGCATGTATGGGTGACTTTATTTACACGTGCACGAGGCAGATACCAATTCCATTGCCAATTCCAGTGTTTTCTTACTGTTTACTTTGAGCAGTTGAATTTGAGAGTACTGATTCACTTTAAATACAAAACTCATTTTCATACTTGCAGGAAACATTTGAGCCTTGAGTGGAAGGCGTCTGTGCAGACCTAGGGACTGGCTGTGGGCTTAATCTAATTTGGTAATTAGAGAGGAGTGAGAAAGGAGCGTATTCCATCCAGAACAATTACAGATTGCTCGCAGATGGTTTCAGCAGGATGCAAAAATAACAGGTTCCTCCCAGCTACAACACGTATCCTACGGGCTCCTGGCTGTGCTGTGACCTGGTGTTTGTCTGTTTGAGGGAGGGGCCGTCATTCCTAAAAGGAGCTTTTTAACACAAAGTGCGTTTGCGAAAACTTCGGTATTTCATCACCGCGGATCTTAACACCTTCCCTTCTTTGGTGAGACTTTGTTCTCATTGTGAGAACATACACGTGCCTGCTACTCACAGAGTTCTCTCTCTGGCCTGGCGTCTCTGTTCATGTGAGATTTGGTCTCCAAACCCACTGTGATTCCCACCATGTGGCTGCCTGGCTGCGGCTGCACACTCTGGTCCTCTGGGAGCTGCCGGCCCCGGCTCGTGCCCTGCACAAGCACCGTACTACAGCTTGTCTGTTCTGGGACACACAGCTCTCCTCCTTGCAGCTGCCCAGTGACTGGAGCATGAGTTGTGTTACATAAAGGGCTCTGGGCTGGGAGCGCTGTGTCAGAGCGCGGGAGGGGAGGGGAGCATGGAAGGAGGAAGCAGATCCGAGCAGGCTTCCTCTTCTAACAGCCCGCCTCACAGCGCTGCCAGAGATCATAGCAGAAACTTTCTTGGTGTGCACTCAGAGATGGTTGGTTTAAATACTTGTATGTAATTTAAATTGATGTACCCTTAAAATAAATAAATAAATAAAAAAACCAAAACCAAAAGCACCTGGGAATGCCCTAATTTAAAACATACTGAGACCTAAGTTTTTGGTGAGCAGTCTTCTTTGAGTTGGTCGTGGTGTGTACCTGACACCTTCTAGTTGTTGCTGTGGTGCTTACAGCTGTTTCTGCTGTGTGTGCAGGGCCATGTGTGGTGTGCAGGGGACAGGGAGAATGAACACTCTACTCTTCCTCACAAACACAATTAACTTTGAGAGCCACTGTGACATATGCATGTCTCCAAAGAAGTCCTGTTTTCTTAGCACTTCAAGAAGGAGGGTGGCGCTGGGAGCAGAGGTCTATGAGCTTCTGGCAATGGGTGCAGGTCTGTGCAGGGTGCTGCCTTTGGGTGCTGGGGACGTTGCTGAAAGGGAGACGCTGCATGGGAGAAGCAGTGTGAACAGCTTGTGTGCAAGGCTGTGGTCAGTGCTGGGTTAGGAAGTGCCTTCGAGGCAGCAGCAGGCAAAGGATGGTCACATGGGGCTCACTGTTGGGGTGAGCTGCTGGCTGGGGTTAGGCCGTGACTGCAAGCAAGCAGCAGCTCTGGCACTGGCACCAACATTATAGTGCATGCAGTGGCTTTAACTCACAGTTTGTGCTTTGCTGTTCTGGTACAGCTTGCTGTGTACCTTGTCACAGAGAAGTGCGTGGTGAGGCTGGGTCGGGCCAGCGTGCAGCTCGTGCAAGGTTTCTGAACTGCTGGATGCTGTTGGTGTAGATGGGGAAGGCATTGAGTGGTCTTAAAGGGTTTGGAAGGTGGAAAGAGGAAGCAGTTGGATTTCCCAGTGCACACAGGCGTTTGGAAGTTTAAGAAAATTAGCCCTACTGCCTCTGGATAGTTTGTTACTGTTAGAACAGGGCTATAAAGCTTGATAAGTGATCTCGTGGAAGGGGTGCTGTTGTGGGGCACTTTGGCTTGGAACTGCTGAGTAGCCGCAGCCAGAGGGCTGTTTTCCTGGAGCTAACGCAGGCTTTGCTGCAGTAATGTGTTTAGAGCTTGAGTGTTCCTGTTAATAAACAGTTACTTCAGATGGGCTGAGCAATGCATAGCGCACTCCAGTGTGTAGGCCTGCAGCACTTGGCGCTGTGCTCCCGAGCGCTCCTTGCAGCCTGTCCGTCTGTGCCGTGTCATCGGATTTTCTAATTACTGTAAATATTCTGCAGGTGTTTCAAATGCACGTTTATGGTTTCAGAAGGACGCAATATATCGTAGTACATGTGCTGAATCAGTGCTGCCATTTTGCACTGTCGCTAATTACTCTGTCTTCCACTACAGGTTGCACAGAGCATTGAGGATCATCATCAAGAAGTAATTGCTTTCTGCAGAGAAAAAGGTTTCCATGGTTTGGTTGCATATGACTCCGATTATGCATTGTGCAACATCCCGTACTATTTCAGTGCCCATGCCCTAAAACTGAGCCGTAATGGGAAAAGTCTCACAACAAGCCAATACCTAATGCATGAAGTTGCCAAGCAACTGGACCTGAATCCAAATCGCTTTCCTATTTTTGCTGCTCTTTTAGGTAAGTGAAGTAATAAAGGAACTTGATGCTAGTAGTGAGACTTATGATTTCAGTTGCTATTAAACGTTTTAAAGCGTGCATGATGTGACAAAGCATTTCAGCAAAACCATGCCTGTCTTTTTGTCATTCTGGCTGTTCTTGAGGTAGGATGCAATTTGTTTTTTTTATTTTTTAACGAGGTCAGGCAGATGCCAGATTTGTAGCGACCTGTGAGTGATGCGGACTGTGGCTGTCTGGAAATAGGAGTAGGAAGTAAGAATTTTGCAAAGCTCTGCCTTGCCAAAATGTTCTCAGTGCTGGGGGCGGAGAGGGGAATTCAGGACAGTTCTACTGGCTCTGATCTGCCGTAGCACACAGGGTCTGATTTTAATAATACAGTTTTCAGACTGGAGAAGTGTACTTCCATATCTTCAAAATAGTGTATTTGAAGTGCAGATTTTTGCATTGCAGGGACTTCTCCCTCTCCGGATAAATACTGAATGAATATGACAGCTGCATTAGAAACTCAGTAAAATTCAGTAGATCACCACAGAAAGACCGAATGATCAGCCTCCCTCTGCTCCAC